ATTGACTTATTTTCATTCAGCATACTGTCTCTAAGTTTTATTCATACTGTGAAATCATTAAGACTTCATTTTCCTTTATGATTGAGTAATATTCTATTGTATGATGTGCCACATTCTATTTATCCATTCATCTACTGGTGGGTACTTAGATTGTTTCCAGCTTTTTGCTTTTGTGAATAGTAATGCTAAGAACATAGGTGTACATGTGTCTGTTCACATTGTTTTTTTATGCCCCTTGGGTATATACCTTGGAGTAGAATATGGCAGTCCTATTTTTAATTTTTTGATGAATTTCCATACTGTTTTCCACAATGGTTATGCCTTCAGTCCTCTGCTTTTAAGAGGCAACTGCTCCTAGGAGAAGTAGCACATTACCTCCTCACCAGTTAAGAGTGTTTTAACATCTTCTGTGACAACTTAATTTCAATTTTGCTACCCAGAGATGTTCAGTCAAAAGAAAGAGAGAGAAAAATGAAAGGGTGGAGACTGTAGGATATTGGATCAAAGCACCAACATGAAAGAATGATTTAGTTCATCTTTGTCACTTTCCTTACATGAATTTCATAAACAAATATTTAATTAGTGCCCACAGAGCACAAGGTACTCTGCCAAGTGCTGAGACATTCAAAAGAGGCTCCCCATCCTCAAAAACCAACACTCATCTGTCATTGTGTTGTATGGTGGCTTGCATGTTGCTGTGATGCTGGAAGCTATTCCACCAGAATTTCAAATACCAGTAGAGTCACAATGACAGTTAAGTTTTGGTGTCAACTTGACTGGGCCAGGATTCCTAGTGGTTTGGCAGTTGAGATGCAGTTATCCCATGGTGAGATCTAATACGCTATAGTTAAATCTATGATGATTGGCTATGAGCAAGTGTAGTTAACTCTATTATGACTGGTTATGAGCAGCCAACAATTGAATGGATGTTTCCTCAGGAGTGTGACCTGCTTCCAATATAATGGACACTCAGGCAAAACTTGCTTGCTTTCTAATGGGTCTGGATCTTGCATCTGGTTCATGCTCCAATCTCGGGCTCTTTGGGCTTGATCCAGTGCCTGGATACCTGGCTGCCTGCCTGCCAATATTGGTTCATCTGACCTGGACTTGGAACTTTCTCACCTTACAGTTGTGAGCCATTTCTTTGATATAAACTTCTCTTTATATATATATATATATGTGTGTGTGTGTGTGTGTGTGTGTGTGCATGTGTGTGTGACGCTGTGGGTTAATGCGCCAGACTGCAAAGCTGTTTGAACTGCAAGGTCAGCAGTTCAAGCTCACCAGCTGCTCCTCAGAAACTCTATACAGGGTCACTAGGGGTCGGAACCGACTCGACGGCACTTCACAACAACAACTTAGAGATAGATAGATAGATATAGATATACATATGTAAATTTCACTGGGTTTGCTTCTCTAGAAAACCCAGTCTAAGAGAGTCAACCATGATGAACAGAGCTTCCAGATGAAAACAGACCAAGAAGGAGAACTTGGCAGTCTAGTTGTGAATAAATTACCCAGTGAAAACAGTACTGGAAGATGAGTCCCTCAGGTTGAAAGGCATTCAAATACGACTGTGGAAGAGCTACATTCTCAAAGTGCAGTTGACCTCAAAGTAGATCTCAATGGCATGAATGGAATAAAACTTCCAGGGTCTTCATTTGCCAATATTGCACCACTCAAAATGAGAAGAAACAGCTACAAGCACCTATTAATAATCACACTCTGGAATGGGAAAAATATGAATCTAGAATATTGGAAATCATAGAAAATGAAATACATAAAGATAAATATCCTAGACATTAGTGAGCTAAATGGACTAGTATTGCCCATTTTTAATCAATCATATGGTCTACTATGCTGGAAATGACAAATTAAAGAAGAATAGCATCACATCAGGTTCATCATCAAAAAAACGCTTCCAAATCTATCCTGAAGAACAATGCTGCTGTCAGTGATAGGATAATATCCATATACCTAGAAGACCAGTTAATATGACTATCATTGAAATTTATGTCAAAGATTAAGAAATTGACCATTTTTATCAACTTCTATGACCTGAAGTTGATCAAACATGCAATCAAGATATATTAATAATTACTGGCAATTGAATGCAAAAGTTGGAAACAAAAAAGGATCAGTAGTAGAAAAACATGACCTTGGTGGCAGAGATGACACTGGAGATCAAATAACAAAATTTTGAAAGACCAATGACTATTAACTGCAAATAATTTTTTTCAACAGCATAAATGGTGACTATGGATCTCCTGATGGAATGAATATGCAGACAGGAATCAAATCAACTACATTTGTGGGAAGACATGACACAGAAGCTCAATCCATCAGTCATGAAAATGCAAGGGGCCTATTGCAGAAGAGATTATCAATTGCTCATATGCAAGGTCAAATTGAAGCTGAAGAAAACTAAAACAAATCCATGAAAGCCAAAGTAATACGTTGATAGTATGCCACCTGAGTTTGGAGGTCATCTTAAGAAGATGTAAGATTTAAGATTTGACACATTGAACATTAATGACTGAAGAGTAGACAAGTTGTGGGATTATACAAGGACATAATAAATGAAGAAAACAAAAGGTCACTAAAAGTAAAAAAAAGAAAACAAACAAAATGGATGACAGAAGAGACTCTAAAATTTTCTATTGAACATAGAATAGTTTATAAAAATGGAAGAAATAATGAAGCTAAAGGGGTGAACAGAAGATTCCCAAGGGCAGTTTAAGAAGACAAAGTGAAGTATTATAATGAAATGCTTGTTCTTACAAGCCATCCAGTTTGTGCTATCAGTCTTTTCCTAATACAAACAGTTTGTGGTGATTACACATGTTTCTGTAGCTATCAAATGTTGTTGTCAGCTTCTATCGAGTGGGTCGCAATTTATGGTGACCTCATGTACCGTAAAACAAAATACTGCCCAGTCCTACTCTAATCCCATTATTGGTGGGGGATCGGACTGTTATAATACAGAAAGTTTTTCATTGGCTGATATTTGGAACTATATCCCCAGACCATTCTTCATAGTTCATCTTAGTCTAGAAGCTCTGATGAAGACATCACTGATAGACGGGTGGTGGCTGGTATGAAGTGCATTGGCTAGGAGTGGAATCCCCACTATTCTGTTACTGACCTCACAATTGTAGAATAAATCTCTCAAATAACTGCTATGTCAAAGGGTATGGAAGAGTCTGTTGAATGCCAATTGCCTAATAGCTTTCCAGTAAACTAGCATCAATTTCTCCACCTACCCACAAATGTATCAGAGTGCAGAGTCCTCTCAAGACACAGACTTTGATGAGGGTGTGGAGAGATTGGTGGTAGGACTGTAAAATGGTGCAATCACTGTGGAAAACAGTAAGGTGCTTCCTCAAAAGATTGGGAATAGAAACAGCGTACAACCAACCAATCCCTCTACTTGATATATATCCTCAAGATATAAGAGCTAAAACATGAACAGATATGTTTAAACCCATAGTCATTACAACACTATTCACAATAGCAAAAAGATGGAGACAGTAAAAATGCCCATCGAGAATAAGATTCTAATGATTCAATAGTGAGTAATTGATATCATGACTAATTGTAATTGTCAAAATTGTAAAGGTAGAAGTTTTGTAACAGAAATGGGGGAGCAGTTAATTTTACAGTCCAAAACCAGAGGACCCTAGGACCATAAGGGAGAAGAACACAAGCAGAATATGGGACCCTATCCAGAGAAGCAGTGACACCAGAAATGGAGGTGAGATTAAGACATGGAGAGAGGGAGCAGCTAAGGACTCTAGGCACATAGAAAGAGAGGAACTGGGTGGTAGCAGCCAGAACTCAGGCTTGTAAAATGTGTCCTTTAGTTGTTTAAATTATTATATATTTCTGAATGTTTCTATGCACATGCACCCTTTCAAAAAAAAAAAAAAAAAAACACAGAGGAAATGTAAGCAAATACTATAGAATGATGGTGCACAGAGGAGATTGTAATCATTGCAATGAAACAATGGTGTAAAGCCGATATTCTTCCATGTAAACTATCACTCAGTTCACAATAAAAACTTTTTTTAAAAGCCCATCAATGAAAGAATGGATAAATGAAGCTCAGTACATATACATAATGGAATACTATGCGATGTTGAAGAAAAACAATGAATCTGTAAAACACCTCATAACATGGTTAAACCTGGAGGACATTACGCTGGGTTAAATTAGTCGATCACAAAAGGACAAATATTGTATAAAACAACTACTATAAAGGAAAGTTGGTGTGCCTCTGTAGGATAAGCACTGGCCTGTTAACCACAAAAATGGTGATTCAAACTCACCAGCTGTACCTTGGAAGCCCTATAGAGGGTCACTATGAGTCAGACCAACTCAACTGTACATAACAATGAGAACAACTGTAGTAAAAAGTCAAGAAAAGGTTCTTACGCTAAGAGACATATTCTATGATGGTTGCCAGAGGTGGGAGGGAAAGGAGAGTAATCAGTAGCTAGAGGGCTGTTGTTGTTGTTAAGTGTTGTCAAGACATGTGTTAACTTGGGAGACACGGAAAGCAATAAATGAAAAAATAATAATAAAAAGAAATTGGTTGGATATGGAAACAGAGATGTATAGGCCCAATGATGTCTAATGGAGCATTATTTAAGATAAAACATTCATTGAAAAAATGTCTAACAATTCGTTCTCATTTCGAGTATTTGTGTCTGATGGAACAATATGTAACCATTAAAAGTTATTTTGTGTAAAAAATAATAATAATAGAAATGGTTGTATCTTTTCACCGTACTTAATCTGTATAATGAGCAAATAATTTTAGAAACAACTATATGAAGAAGAATGTGACATCAGGATTGAAGGATGACTCATTAACATTATGTGATATGCAGAGACCATGAACTATGAAGGTGAGTCAAAAATTAACCACACTCGAGTGAGGACTACAACTAGTTTACTGGAATCGCGGCGAAGATTGGGGGTCCTATCACACCGCAATCATGTCTATTATGTCCTATAATGGAGGGGCCGTCATGGCCATGAAAGGGAAGAATTGTGTGGTCATCGCTGCCGACAGGCGCTTCGGAATCCAGGCCCAGATGGTGACCACAGACTTCCAGAAGATCTTTCCCATGGGAGACCATCTGTACATCGGCCTGGCGGGGCTCGCCACTGACGTCCAGACCGTTGCCCAGCGCCTCAAATTCCGGCTGAACCTGTATGAACTGAAGGAAGGTCGGCAGATCAAGCCTCACACTCTCATGAGCATGGTGGCCAACCTCTTGTATGAGAAGCGGTTCGGTCCCTACTACACTGAGCCTGTCATTGCTGGATTGGACCCGAAGACCTTTAAGCCATTCATTTGCTCTCTGGACCTCATTGGCTGCCCCATGGTGACTGATGACTTTGTGGTCAGTGGCACATGCACTGAACAAATGTAC